GCCATGCGCCGTGAAGTCACCTCTCACAAAATAATCTGAGTTAATAATACCAATGTGTGCTCCACCAGATCCCATCAGTGCCCGCTCAAGCCGAAGATTAATTTTCCTAACTTCCCCATTCATCCACGGCTTGTCGTGCCTCCTGAAATGTCGACCGCAGCAGTGTAAGGGTTAAACAAAAAAAAAGCCTGCTTACACATGTAAGAAGTCAAGAGCTGCAGTAGTATGTTTGCTGCTTTCCAGTGAATGGCAGGATACTCTTCTTCCACAGAAATCCAGAACTTGTCCAAGGATAAGTCAGTAAATCTCTTCTTGAGTATGCGATCAGACTGCAGCTCACAGAGTTCCAGAGTAAGGGTCCATCATCTGGCCACACATACACTTGTGTTCAAAAGAAGGGAAGATAATGTTTAATTATGTTCCACATTTCAAGTTGGTTTTCAATAAGACTTGCTGGAATCCTCCTTCACCCTCAAGCCCCAGCAGCTGTGGAAACATTTCAAGGTTTCCTTTCACAACATGATTTTTCCAAAGATTCGGTTTCCTTTTAAATCCAAGATTCTTGTCACTTGAAGTTACAACATTTTCTCTGGGGCCTTGTAGAGATTTGTCCAACTGGTTAGTGTGATGAAAAGTATCTGCTAAGCATGATAGTTTTTTTTATTGCTAGTGGGGTGGGACTAGTTTTTTTTATTGCTAGTGGGGTGGGACTAAGTCCCTTGTACTGCGGCCACTTCTGGCCTATTGTACAAGCCCAAGATGATAGGTGAGGGTGATTGTGGAGCAATTGGTGGAATGAAGACTGGGAGGAGAAACCGAAGTACTCGGAGAAAACCTGCCCCAGCGCCACTTTGTCCACCACAAATCCCACTTGACCAGACCCAGGAAAGCATGATAGTTTCTCCAGCCATCCCTTCATCTTCAAAGCACTTTGCAAAATCTGGCCTACTGTTTTCTTGAAAGTAATCTACATAATTCACCTCTCAGCTCAGACACCCTGTTGAGAACTCTTCCTCTGCTAAGCCACCGGATTTCTGTATGTAGCAGGAGATTTATGTCCTGTTTCTCCAGGTTTTCACACAACTTTTTAAACATTCTGGAGTGAACTGGTCTTTGTTTGATAAAGTTAACCATTTTTGGAGCATCATCCAAAACTTGTTTCATTTCACCTCCAACAGTTTTTGAAACCAACATCTCTATGTGAATAAAGTAGTGTGTTGTGACATCAGGATTTTATTTTTATTTTTTAACAAGAGAGGTGAATCCTCTACAGCAGTGCTTCTCAACCTTTATCAGACCGCGGCCCAGTAAATTATTTTTTTATAAGACGAGGGCCCAGTCCCAACAAATTTACTCGTAAATACCTTTCCAATTTTGTTAAAGTTCATGCATTAAGCTAACGTAATATTAGTAATTAATTATAGCATAATCATAAAGAGTATTAGTACACTTATGTATACAGTGTGGCATGTTGACAAACAAAAATTACGCTTAAATTAGTTATCAATCTCTGGACTAATGAAATCTTGTAGCATTTTGTAGTTTCCTCAGACCAACATCATTAAATTAATTTATGCTAATTTTCATTGACATATCCCATGCTGATTACCAAAAACTTATGTTATTCAGCATAAAATTGATTATTGTATTATTAAATTGATTTTAATGATGTTGGTTTGAAGAAAACGGCAGTGAGAAAAATATTTATGCATTGTAACTCACCACAGAAGTCAACTGAGTAGGGGAAGAAGCAGAAGGATGTCAACTTGCCGGCGAAACACTTATTATCACATACACCAAATAATTATATATGTAAAGTATGTAATTTGATAAATAAAAATGTCTGAATCTCTCAATTCTAAACACTACTTCCAAAACTAATTAATATTTTGATTTTAAAGACACAACACTTTAACACAGCAATTACAAGTTATTGGAAAGTTAAACTTAGTTTCTTTTATCAGAACTGAGTTTGGAAGGTTTTAGTTAGGCTAGTGAGACTTCTGTTTCTGTTTTCTGTCTGTTAGCTTATTAATTCTGGGATGAATTGGAGAGCCAAACGGAGACAGTCAGAAAGTTGCAGGCAGCTCCTTTGTTTCGTTTTAATCACAGTCATGGCAGAAAATTCAGTTTCACAAAGATATGTGGTGGAAAAACAAAGAAGAAACCTCACTGATATTTCATGTAAATTTGGATATAAATTTTTCATTGTTATCCAGAATTTCGAATTACTCATAGTATTAAAAGTACTTTCCAGTCCTTTGTCCGATGATAATTCAATAAGTTGAAGGGTTTCTTCATGGGGAAGGGCTGTCTCTTTATGTTCAACAAAAGGGTTCACAATCCACATATTTTGCCTCTGGGGATCCTCATGTTCAGGATAATATTTTTCAAACGACAACATCTTCACTCAGGTTTCAAAACAAGCACTTACACACTGTAATGCGAACTTGTGAAGAAACAGTATTCAGTATTACTAGATTTGAGAACCGGACACAGACTGCCTTGATTTTCAATTTCAGTGGAAACATTTTCTTTATACTTCCTTGCTGATTGGTCACTGACATTTGCAACACAGATGTTATTTCGCTCAGTTCTGAGAACAGAGGATATGCCGCCCATCGTTGTAATCGGCTTGCAGGCAACTTTTATGACTAGTCATAAACCTCGGTATTGCCTTTCCCAAATTTTGAAAGATTTGGATGTCTGAAAATTCCCGATCATTCATGAATACTTCCATGTTTAAAAATGTGCGGCTTGGTCACTGACATTTGCTACACAGATTTAGGTCTTCTGTGTCTGAGCTTCTCGACACAAATATTGTTCTCCTAAGAATATTTCCACTATAAAATATTTATTCATGAAAAATGCTTAGAAAATGAAAATGACAAATTCCAGAAGAGCGTCCCACAGCCCAGTATAATTGATGCCAGGGCCCACTACTGGGCCGCGGCCCGGTGGTTGAGAAGCACTGCTCTACAGCCAACCACTGATGGGGCACCACAGATTCCTACACAGTTCTCCCCAGACAGACCTCCTGTTTCCGTATATGAAAACAAGACATTAAATATATCTTGCCATTTGCAACAGAGAAAAAGTTTTCTTGAATTTCGCCATCATTTACAAATCTTACAAACGCTACAATGTAACTTTTATTGGTGAAATCTGTGACTCATTGACCTTGATACAGAAACTGTTATTTTTTGGTTTATCATACTGCATCTTGTCCCAGCATAATCAGCACTTTTACTAGTTAATGTGGCTATAATCTGTAGTTAAGTGTTGTTTCAATTTTGCTGGAGCCATTGCTTCATTTGCTAGTTGTTTGCCACAGGTGAGACATAGTGGAATAGGACAGCCTGAATCACTGTTCCATTTAAAGCAGATTAATTAGTTTTCATTATAAAGATGGTTCTTTTTTGGATCCATTGTTCCACTAGTGCAGTAAAATTTGTTAGAAGCTTGTGATCCTCAGTCGCTAATGTTATCAGAACTATCCGTATGCCTAGGACTAAGTCCCCCTCTATTCTTACATGCCTCCTCTTCAAAAATTGTCACATGGGACCATCAGCCATTTCTGTGAAAAAAAAAAGTGGTAATTAAATATAAAAAGAAATTGGTAGTAGATAACCGAATGAAATTCCAAATAACCACATAACGTTTTAGTGATTAAAAAGGTAATAAGCAAATGTTATTTTTTGGTATAAAAGCTGTAAACTCCGAATATGGGAAATAGATAACTTTCGTGGTCATTATTAACATAAACACACACAAGCATGAAAGCATGAAGATGGCACTTTAGTGCTGAAACGTGTAGTGCAAGAGAGAAGAGTAAGGTGAATAAATGTATGTACTGTAAGACGGTCAGAATAAATCATGGACATAAATCAGTGCAACAGGATGCTAAAATATAACATTATGAAAGCTTATTTTTATATATTTCACAATTTCTCATGTAAACCTAGGGTCCCAAAGAACCCTGGGTATGTCACCAGAACTAAGCAGCATGCCAGGCAATGAAACTCTCCATGGCACAAGAGAGTTCTGACAAGGACTGGGCCAGAGTTAACATTCATGTAACTGTTACATTTGTTGACAGGTCTGGAGGGACATCTGTGAAGAGAGTGTGCCATGATCCCACACTCTGGAGGCAGCAGCTAGTGGCCCCTGCAGGATGTCTGGATATGCAGTGTGTTGCAGTGGTGAAGGTTACTGACAATCAGGAGGAACTGTCTCCACCTTCTTCTTGCGCTGCAGGTGAAATGTCAGTAATCATTGCCATTTTGACATGTGCTGTACCCGGATTCAGGACACTCTTCCCCGCCACACAGCATCCAGGAGGAGAACAAGTCTCTGCACCCCTTCTTAGTGGAAACTTCATTCTTACCTCAAAGTATGTGTTATATAGTGTAGTCCCTATTATTCATATGCAGATTATCCACCTTAAGGCATATTTATGCATATTTTGGAGCATTTGCCATCCTGGGGATTGCTTCTTAAATTAAGTCTCTTCATTGTAAGGTAAAAAATGTAGAGTCGTCCATGTGCTTAACTAATTAAGCACTATGTCATGAAGGCGTATGGGGAGCGGCTGTATAGATCCACAGTCTATTCATTATGTAGTTCATGTTTGAGGATTTACATGAGGAATACATATATCTCTAAATACTGTATTACTTCAAATCTAAGACACTTTCAAATTTAAGATGCATCTGGTATTTAAATTTGGATTTGAGGAAAAATTGAGAAAGGTGTATTTATTTCAGTGAGTTTATTGAAAACACTTTTAAAGTGAAAAGCAATGGAAATCAAACCAGAATGAAATGAAAATTTAAGATTTTCACTGTCCAATATTATGTATGTTGGCAAGGTTTAGCCATTTAGAAAAATTGATTGATTATGTGTACTGTGTCACCATATGTTCCATGGTAGAGCTCCTGCCCAGTAAATCTGCCCACCCTGACTTGCCGTCCGTTTTGGTTTTTCTCTCTCGAGATCCCTTACTCGACCTTAGGGAGGCATATTGCACCACTGTGGCAAGCAAGTCGTTTTATGAGCCTGTCCTTACCAGGAAGGGTAAGGGGATGGCTCAAGAATTGTAGCAGAGCGTGGTTTTGACGAGATTAACGAAAGTTTATGAAAGTAAACGTGGTATCTCGGTGTTTCGACCAGCTTTGGGTCGGTTTCATCAGGACTTGCTTGTTGAAGTGTTGAATTTACTGTGGATTCATATGTATTTTGTGTTGTGGTGTTCTGTGTTGTCGCTATGCCACTCCTGTGGATTCATCATCTTCCGAGAGAGGAGGCTGAGAAGTTGACGTCGGAGTTGGGTGTGTCAGTCCAAGGGACCTTGGACGATTTGCGGTAGAAGCTGAAGGACAAGTGGAGAGCACTGGAAGCTTACCTACCTCCTCAGATGACAGATAAGTTTGCCGGGAGTATGGACTCTGCGGGAAACAGTAGTGTTAAGATTCAAGGGGGCGATGTCCATGCGCAGATTAGTTATACCCAGAGTAAATTGAGGGGTAATATGGTCTCTGATTTAGTGAAGAGTATACCCACTTTGACTGGTACTGAGCCTGAGCAAGTGTTTCGATTTCTTGTAAGAGCTGAGGAGGTCTATGACCTGAAATTAGTAACAGATGGGGAATTTTTGGCTCTATTAGTCGCTAGAACTACCGGTAGGGTCATGCTAATAATTAGTGGACATTTGCGTGTATCTTCTGGCTGGGGTTTCGTTTGTTCAGATATTCTGTCTGCGTTTCTTCCCCCTCGCATCCGAGAGAGTCTCTTGTCGAAGTATGTTTTGGACTGGTTTCAAGGTGACGCAGAAGAATTGTTTCAGTTCGTTGCGTCTGTAGTGAGTGCCGCTGGTATCATTGAATACCAAGTTTCTGACCTGGCATTGGTCCATTTTATAGTCCAGAATATTCATCCCAGTGTGCGTCCTTGGTTGGCGTTTGAGTCTGAACCAAAATCTGTACAGGAGCTGTATAGTCTTGAGAGTCGTGTTGCGGAAGCTCATGCTGTCGAGCATCACCGGAGAAGTCCTGAGTGTGATGTTCCAGTAGGGAAGGTTTCGCGGGACGAGCAAGGGATGTGTCCGATTAGTATGTACTTCTTTTGGCTTATTTTGGACTTCACCCATCGTCTGGTATGTAAAAGACAAAAAGACAAAAAACCTTGACGTTTCGGAGACTGGATCTGTTTCCGTCTGAAATATCAAAACTGGGTTGGCTGATCGGATTGGATGAACATGCCATATGAGCTGATTCTTTGTATTTTCTGTATCTGCTGTTGCTTTCAACATCCAAGATCCTAGCTTCATCCCAGCTTACTCTGTGACCTTCTTCATATGCATGCTGAGCCAACCTGGATTTCTCTAGAAGACCCTGCTTGAGATTGTGCTTGTGTTCACATATTCGAACAGCCAGTGGTCTGCCTGTTTCACCAATGTAGCTTCTGCCACATTGACAGGGAATGCTATAGACGCACTATGCCATCTGTTGAGGATCCCTTTTTGGTCTCGTTCTCATGAGCGAAGATCTTAAAGTGTGTTTAGTTTTTAGATGGTCCTAACATACTGGTTCCCTATGCGCTTGAACTTCTCAGAGATTCGCTTGACATACGGGCTGTACACCGTGCCAAGAGGCTTTTCCTCTTTTTTCTTTTGACGACTACCGCCCTTGGACCTGATAACCGAGTCAATAAATCCTTGAGAGTAACCACTCAGTTGAAGGTCGCGTTTCAAATTGTTAACCTCCAACACCCGGTCTTGCCGGTCTTGGCATATAGTGGTAGCTCTATCATGAAGGCTATGAACAATTCCTCTTTTGACATGCGGGGGGTGATTGGAATTGAAATTAAGATATCTGCCAGTGTGGGTGGGTTTTCTGTGAACTTTCATGGTCAGAGCCGTCCCTTTTTTCATGACCAAAACGTCCAAGAAGGGGATCGTTCCCTCCGATTCTATTTCCATGGTGAACTTGATAGCCGGTCTTAGACTGTTGAGGTGTGTAAGGAAGTTCTGTATCCCCTCTGCACCATGCGGCCAGATCACAAATGTGTCGTCCACATATCGGAGCCACAACGACGGTTTGTCCTGCGCCGAGTCGATATCCAGTTGTTCAAAATGTTCCGTATAGATGTTGCTAACAACGGGAGAAAGGGAGCTACCCATTGCCATGCCACCCTTCTGCTGGTAGAATCCGTCGTCCCCTTGAAAGTAGGTGGTCCTCTGGCAGTCAAGCAAAAAGCAAAAGAAAGCAAAGAAAAGAAAGCAGTCAAAGCAAAAAGAAGTACAGTGTACACCATCGTCAGAATCCTTTCAAGTCTATCCGATTAGTATGGTTACAAGGGAGAGCCCTCGGCCATGTAAACGGGAGATCAGATGTTATAGGTGTACCCGATTGGGTCACTTTGCAAGGAATTGTTCATCTTCCAACGCCCCTTCTGTAAGGAGGCAAGGAAACGGGGGCGGTGCTCGGAGGTAAAAGATCCTGTGGAGCTCCGAGCGCCTGAGAGTGAGAGGTCGGATCAGCGAATTTCTCCAGTAAAGATCGCTAGCCACATCCCGTGGGTGATGTTGACCATCAGAAATTATTGTATGCCAGCCATTTTGGATTTGGTTTCGTCATTTTCCTTGGTTCTTCTGGCTTAAAATTCCATCCCTTTGAAAAATCCAACGAAATTTCAGACTGTTTGGAAATTCAGTTTATGCCACATGACTTGTGCGATAAACACCATGAAGAGCGGGTGGAGGCTAGAGTTCAAGCTCTGCTGGAAGCCGTGGATGAAAACCCCCATCTAAGGATCAGACCATGTGACGTTCAGAAATTAATAAAATCCCTGAAATTAAAAAAGGCCTGTGGAAGTGACGGCATCCCAAATGAATGCCTCAGGCACCTTCCAAGGAGACAATTGGTTCACCTAACTCACTTATTCAATCACTCTTTTCAGCTCTCTCACTTTCCAAATACTTGGAAGGAAGCAAAAATAATAACTGTACCTAAACCGGGTAAAGACCCGAAATTTCCTCAAAATTTACGTCCGATCAGCCTCCTGTCCACGACAGGAAAACTATTCGAAAAAGCAATTTTGAAATTCCTCCATAAACATATTGAAGAAAGAGACCTGCTCAACGCAAGTCAGTTTGGTTTTCGTGCACGTCACAGCACGACATTGCAATGTATGAGGCTGGCGGACCACGTGACCCTTAATTTCAACAATAAAATGTCTACGGCTGCAGTGTTCTTGGACATCGAAAAAGCCTTTGATACCACGTGGCACTCAGGCTTGCTGTTTAAATTATCAAAATTGGAATTCCCCAACTCTTTGACCAAGCTTATTGGGTCCTTTCTCTCTAAACGTAAATTCAGGGTCTCTGTTGAAGGCGAAATGTCAACGCCAAGGGAAATGCAAGCAGGGGTGCCACAAGGTTCAGTCCTTTCCCCCACTCTTTTCAACATGTATATTAATGATGCCCCCCAAACTCATGGTATTCATTTGGCCCTCTTTGCGGACGACACCTGTCTATATGCGACAGATCGCAAAGAGGGTTTTATTGTTAGAAAACTCCAGCGCGGTCTCAGCTCAATGGAGACCTGGTGTGAGAGCTGGAATATAAAAATTAATGAAGATAAGACTCGGGGGGTTTACTTCTCTCGTGGTCGTCGACCGCCTGAGTCTTGTCTTACTCTAAATGAAAGAAATACTCCATTTGTAAATAGTGCAAAATATCTAGGTGTAATCTTCGACAAGAGAGTGACTTGGAGATTACACATAGAAATGATCGAAGCCAAGGCCTTCAGAACATTCATTAGAGTGTATTCCCTATTCAAAAGTGAGCGATTGAGGGTCCTACAGTAAAGTCTCTTATTTTTGAGTTATCAATGAATCAATGAATCTATCGCTGACCTAGAGTTATTTTGAATTCTTGTGGGAAAGTTAACAGTACTGGAGAGGTTGTAAGATAATAACAAAGAATCTAAGTTTAGTTTCCTATTACTATCGATGAGATAGTTTACATTTATATCACCACAAATTAGAAGTTCAACTTTTGGACTATGCAGTACATTGAGGATGGTTTCTAATCTATCTAAGAATTGATCAAAATTCCCAGATGGGGCTCTATATAAAGTCAGTACACAAATATCAGAGAAAGTAGGGTCTAACTTTAAAGCACAGGCTTCTAGATCCTGATCTTTGCAATAATCTTCTAAATTTATTTTAGTAAATTTCACGTTTTTATGTACAAAAATACTCACTCCTCCTTTCTCTAGCGTTTGTCTACAATATCTAGCTCCTAAATTATAATTTTCTATGTGAAAATGTTCTAATTCCAGCTGCTTCATGTGATGTTCAGTAAGGCACAGTATGTGCAGGAGACTTGATTGCATGAAGCTTATTAATTCATTTGATTTATTTCTCAGTGTTTGTTCACAATTATTAGAATGTTTTCTTACAGACTTGGGCAAATATTCAGAGCTGGGTACAGCTACACTTGTTAGAAATATGATGCTATATCACTAGGATTCTTGTAAATCAATACATTTGCCACCCACAAATAAAATAAAATTTCAAGGTTATGAAAGATTCTGCATTCTCTTGCGACAGGAATGCCGAGAATGCTGCTACAGAGAGCCGAAGAAACATTTCCTACTGTGACAGAAAGGATGGTGAGTGTTTTGTCCCCCTGTGCACAGACAAGAATTTTATTATCATCAGTCAATTCTCATATCTTAAGAAACTAAATTTTTTATGCCAAGCTTGTGTTAGTTTTCATAAGCCATCTTGGGAGTTTACATGGTTCTTCATAGTGTAACACTTTGCATTATTATGTGGGAGAGGGACCAATTCAAGGAGAGTGAAATGGGTATGTATATATGTAAGTTAAGTAAGTAAGTAAGTAAGTAAGTAAGTAAGTAAGTAAGGAGTGGGCCATAAAAACCGGCCCCTGCACTGTGACCTTCAATGATCTGTTGTGCGTCCCATTGGATTAGCCCTTTATTTTGACTTTTTCTATATCCAAAGGTATTAACCTGCTTAGGATTTATGGAATGCAAATAAATTCAATTCAAATCCTACGCCTTTAATAATGTGTAGGACCCTGCCTATGGGGGCGTCATAAAAGTCACTTGGTTCCATAAAAAACTGACCCAAGTGATGAAAACTTAAATAAACTATGGGCTCACAATCACACAAGATGTGTGTGGCTAATTCGTTATCTTGTAGGTACCTTTCACAAGTTGGGCTGTCTGTCAGTCCCAACTTGAAAAGGTGTCCTTTCAGGTGGCAGTGTCTGTTAAGTAATCCTACCACCCATTTTAGTTGATATGTGTTTAATCTCAACAGATCCTTTGTTCTTCTGGCAGAGGGTCCTGCTATAAAACCCATTGCCTGTTTGAGTCCAATTATGGATTCCCAGTATTTGTATGGTTTCTATCCGTCCAGTCCATTACCGCTTTTTTGACAACTCCAATTGAGATGCTACAAGCTGGTTCAGGTCCTGTGAACGGCTCTTCAGATCGTGATATGGGTAGGTCATATAGCATGCATGTGAGAATGAGAAATGACAAGACCTGAATGAATGAGATCATTTGGGAGACAATTATGAAGATGGATTTTGTTAAAGATACATTTATGGTGGTTTCGGACTGGGTTTGTTTGTGTCAGGATGCAAAGTCATGATGGGCATGTGTGAACACTGAGTGCTTAGGTTCCATAAAGAGCAGATACGTATTGTCTGTACTTCCACAGGGAGCACAGGTTTCTCAGGAAGGTCCCTGCATTATGAACTTAACACTTCCTAAGATTGTGAAGTCTGTAGAGAACAAATCTGTACAGAGCAGCTGTTATTGGTTAGATGTAATGAGAAACAGTTACAGCAAGGAGAGCATATATTGTTTCATGTATAGTGTTGTACAGCCATGACTGATAGAAGATGTGATGCCTTTACAGAACTGTACAAATTTAGAGAAGGTTTCAGTTGGTCCATATGGTGAGACATACCCAGCAAGTCATGATGGAAACCGGGCCATGAATATAAAAGCTGATGAAGTCTCAGATGCAGAAGAGGAAGTGGATCCTCTTCAAATAACAGTTCAGGAGATAAAGGCTGAACCTGAGGCGAGCTGTGTGCTTCTGTTTGTCCACTGTTAGGCAGATATCACAAATATGCAGGAACTCCAGTTGTCTATCTCATCTCCATCTGTCTGGCTGCCTGTCTGTGCACATAGACCAACTCCACTTCACTGCTGACATGCCTCTGAAGGCCTTTTTCTGAAGTGTCACTAGACAGTTATAATTTGTTCAATGTGTGCTGTGTCTGATGTACTACTTCCATTTCCTTTTAAGCAGTTCTGATGTAGATGAAATTAAATTTTGTGTAAACTGAACTGTATTTGAGAGAAATTCTATAGCAGCAAATATACTTAGGGAGTCACGGAACTGTTCGTGGTTAGTTGCTTGTACACTTGTTAGAACCAATTAGTTACTAGGACTCTTGTGAGCTAATTCCAATGAATCCCACAAGATATTTATCATGTGATGCACAGGTTTCAAAGTTACAAAAGATCCCGCATTCTCTTGCAACAGGAGTGGCAAGAATTGTACTGCAGAGAGCTGAAGAGAACTTTCCTGCTGTAAGCGAATGAATTGCGAGCGTTTCATGCTTGTGTGCACAGACAATTTTATTGCTGTATTTCAGTTGTCTTGTCCAAAGAAACTAAATTTTTGTGACCCGCTTCTGTTTGTTTGCTTAATCCATGTGGAGAGTTTCTTGCACTTGGGTGATAATGGGTTGGGATATTATGTAGAAGAGTGGTGTCGGTAAGTTGCATAGAGCACATGCAACAGTCAGAAATGCATACAAAGTTTTGCACGGAAAACGTGAGAGAAGCAGACCAGTTGGGAGACCTAAGTGCAGATGGAGAGATGCTGTTAAGATAGATTTTAAAGAAATAATTTGGAAGGGTTTGTACTGGGTCTGTTTGCCTTAGGATACAGAGCCATAATGAGCATGTACTATAACTAACTCCATGAACCTGAGTGAGTCCTTGAGAAGCCTCCTGTTGCTTGGCCACTGAAGAATTTCCCAACATTATATAGAACCTGCAAGTTTATTGATGTTCACCAAAACCCATCACAAGTCCCTATCCTGAGCCATATGAATCCATTCCATTTAAATGTTGTCTTCCCACCTATGCCTATGTCTTCCTATTGATCTCTTTCATTCTGACTTTCTCAGGAAATCCTATATGCATTCCTCTTCTCCCCCATGCCTGCTATATGAGCTCCCCATGCCATCCTCCTTGTCTTGATCATATAATTATGCTTGGTGAACAAAGGTTACAAGTTGTGGAGCTCTTCATTATGATGGTTTTAGGAACCAAAAAAGCAGATATTTTCTGTACTGCTGCAGTGACGGATAGTTTCTCGGGAAGGTCACTGAGCTATGACCTGAGTACTTTCTAGTGATCATGATAGCTGTAGAGAAGAGCATCTGTACAAAACAGCTTTTATGAATTAAATGTGATGAGAAACAGCCATAGCAAGGAGAGCATACGCTGTTTAATGTGTAGTGTTGTGCATCCATTTCTGAGAAAGATGTGATGGTTTCTACAGAGCTATACAAATTCGGAGAACGCTTTAGTGGGTCCGTATGGTGAGACATACCCAAGACATCATGATGCAGATCAGGCCATGAATGAAAAAGCGAGGCAGTCTCAGATGCAGAAGAGGAAGAGGATTCTGTCCCAATAACATTTCCAGAAATAAAGGCTGAACCTGAGGTGAGCTGTATGTGCACTGTTAGGCAGATAACACAAATGTGCAGAAATGCCGCTTGACTTCTCTGTGAACATGAAACATCTCCACTGTGCTGTTGACTAGATTTAGAAATTCCCCCCTCCCCCACCAAACTGTAGTGCCTTGAATATTGTGTGTGATGTACCACTCCCATTTTCATTAAACAGATCTAAGATAGATGAAAATAGATCTTATGTAAACTGAATGATTGCCCCAAATTCCATAGCAGGAAAAATCCTACACATTTTCCTTGTCTGTCCACTCCACTAAGCAGTGCTTTGGTACTACATCACAGAGTTCCCAAGATCTATAAATGCTGAAGTTTATCATTTGTTTTCTGTCTCCCATGCAGTCTGTATCCATGCAGTAACATAGAGGTGTCATTGTGTTGAGCATGTGTAACAGGATAACTAATGATTCTCTAAAGCAGTGTTTCCCAACCTTTTTGATGCCACGGACCCCCTGTACCAAATGTTAATTCACCGCGGCCCCCATGAAACCCAAAATGGAATTTTTTAAATTTTACGAGTACATATCATAAAAATGAAGCAGTAACTTAAAATTTTACAATACTAAATGTGTCATTTATGACAATAAAATACTGTTATAAATGGAGATATTTGGAAGATTACGAACATATCAATTAGGCGTAATATTATGAATTTAACACTCACGTAATGTGATGGCTGGTGCTGTTTTTCAGACGTCAACTTTCGAATGTCAGGATCAAAACTGGATAATTTCAGATGTAGATCTGGCTCCACGTTAAGTCTGTTCCTATATCTGTTTTTCATGTGTACAAGATGAGAAAATGTTGTCTCGCACAGATATGTAGTGGGAAATGGCGACAGATGTCTTACAGCCCTTTTGGAAATTTCAAGGTAAACAGACCTAGCTTGGAACCAAAACTCCAGTAACGGTAACGAAGGAAACAGCAATTTGAACGTCGAATCACAGGACAGCTCGATAAGTTGCTCTTCCTCGGCAGAAGGAAGTTCAAATTCAGAGTCTACAAAGGGATTTTTCATCCAGTCGTTATTTTCAAGACCAAACGGAAAATACAGACGTAGTTGAGACGCCAATGACCTCATATGTTCAATCATACTTTCAGCAACATCACTAGAAAGGGGTTGTTCACTGGAATCAATGAAATCACTCAGCGTGTGAAAGGAATCGTATTTTCCATTCTCGATACGGCTGCACCACAAATTTAACTTCTTGATTGTTGCCTCTATCTTGTCTTGCACAGAAAACACGGTGACAGATGTGCCTTGAAGAATCGAGTTAAGAGTATTCAAGATGTTAAAAATGTCCGCCAAGTAAGCAAGAGAGGAGAGCCATGCGAAATCATTTAAATAGTGTGTTAACTGAAATTTAGAGTTTATGAGGAACAACCTTACTTCATCTCGAAGCTCAAGCAACCACGTCAAAACCTTACCTCGGGACAGCCATCGGATTTCTGAGTGCAATAATAAGTGTTCGTGATCACTTCCCATTTCATTACAAAGCGCAGAAAATAATCGGCTGTTAAGAGGACGGGCTTTAATAAAATTGACAATTTTTACTGCCTCGTCTAGAACGATTTTCATTTTGGAGGGCATACGGCGTGCAGCTAATACTTCGCGGTGTATGCAACAATGTGTCCATTTAACAAGAGGTGCGACTTTCTGGATACGTGCGACCAAACCATTATGTATTCCCGACATTGCCTGAGCACCATCTGTGCTGATACCTACACATTTTTCCCATTGAAGTGTATTTGTAGTTATGAAGTCATTGACAACTTTGAAAAGGGCTTCAGCAGTTGTATTAAGAGGTAACGATTCACAGAACAAAAAATCTTCACAAACTTTATTTTCGTGTTCATATCGCACCAAAGCTACCAAATTAGCATTATTTGAAATATCGTGGCTTTCATCCAACTGCAACGCAAAATATTCACTATGACGTAACCGTTCTAGCAAAATATCTTTCACATTTTGAGCCATCTCGTCGATTCTTCTTTTCACAGTATTGTCAGATAACGATATTAGAGACACCTCGTTGGCATGTTTTTCACTAAACAAGTTCTTTGTTATCGTTTTTGTAGCAGGCAAAATTAAATGTGCCCCGATTGCATGGCGTTGTCCATTTCTAGCGATCAGAAGGGAGACTTCGTAAGAGGCAAGAACAGCCTTTTCATTTTCCGTTCCACATATTATGTCCTTAACTAAATTCTGTGAACCACAAAGTTGCAGTTTCTTATTTTGAAAATATTCTATTGGCTTATTAACTGATTCGCCATGTTTCATTTCAAGGTGGCGTCTCAACTTCGATGGCTTCATAGATTCATTCGATAACACTTCGTAACAAAGAACACACTGTGGCCTGTCTTCGCCGTCTTTATTGAGAACGGAAAATCCCATTTGCAAATAAGATGGACAATATTTGCGTGATTTTTTGAAGGAAGGAACTTTATCTGCCCTGGTACTATTTTCGACAACACTAGATCCACTCGGATTATCGTCTGTCTTACATTTCAATGATCCACACTTTAACCACCGATCCATATCTAAATAAGATCGTGAACAAACTGAAAGTCAGAAGTTTCGTTGTGAACTCAATTATTTGAACAAAAGCAGAAAAACTGAATATTACACCGAGAAAAACACACTTGTATAATATTATAAAAAATCACTGCACAAAAAATAAAGAAACACGGGTTGTTCGCTCTGCCACTGAAATGAATAAGAAACGTGGTCAATGGTCCCAGGTTTATTCCAAACCAAAGAGGGATGGATTTGGTGGGGGAGGAGGGGAGAATGGTCAGACAGCATGTACTAGGACAGCAGTCCACCCTGAAACACAGGTCTGAGATGCAATGGGCCGACCAAAAGAAAATGTCCTTGGAAAAATCTACACAAATCGTTGGTTATTCACCTCTGCTTTACAAAGGGAAGAAGTAACGGTACCAACAGTCCCATTAAATTTTACTTCAACCATGGGCCTCAAGAGCCAGAGATATACATTGCAAATATCCCAGGTGTGAGGAACATGAGAAGATAAAGTTTAATGAAAATAAAATATCCCGCGGACCCCTTTCGGGTCCGCGGACCCCAGGTTGGGAAACACTGCTCTAACGTTTTGTGACACATTATTGACATGTGTTGTCTGATGCCCTTTTGTGTTAAGTAAATTTAATATACCTGACACTGTTGGAGTGACCTCTGTACCTGTTGTCAGGTGACTGGTTGTCATAACAATTTTTTTTGTTATTTTCGGTTATACAGAAAGCTTACTAAACGTTAGATACAGAGAATGTGTAAGAGGTGTAGAAAGCCATAGTGAAGAATTGGCCCTGGCAACACATCCTAAAATATAGACACAATTGAGGTGAAGTGGAATCTACAATGGATGTAATTAAACACACAAATAAAGCTATTAATGAACATCAAAGAAAATTTCTACATGTACGTATAGACAGAGGTTCTTACTTTTCTCGGCTGGTTCACAATAACTGATGCACTGCTGGCTGCAAAGTGCATACAAATTTTGCCAGTGAATCAGTATGCCTGTGGCCAGTAACGTTTGGAATGAAGTATACAATTCACAAGTCACAGAATGTGTTGAAAATGCTGTCCCCGCATTAAGGTTGGGTCAATGTTCCTACCAAATACCAGTGCAGATTTTTCTGTTCCCGATGACATCAGACAAAGCTTGCATAGATGTACATGTACTATGGGCAGTAGTTGAGTCATGCTGAAACCAGCCATAGACTCTTTTTTTCTTTTGTAACCCTCGAAAGATTTGTCTCAGAATGACCTGTACATATTTTTCACAATTAATTTTTCCATTAAAACGCAGGCAGTGCAATCCTTGTTGCCCTTACAAGACGCCAAACTCCAGCTTTCACTGGATCTAGCCATACTTCCTGGGTTAGATGTGGATTCGGTGAATTCCAGTAGCAATTATTTTTTATATTTATATATCACTGCAAGTGAACCCATGCTTCATCAGAATAGGATGTCACTTGTGGCTCAATCTCATCTTCAATGATACACCGTAGAAACCAACTGCAAAAATGAATTTAGAATGTTATTTATTAGTTCTGATAGCATTTATATTTATATTTTCAGAGCACATGTTGCAAGCTCGATATACATTTGGCACAATGGACCAGACCATGAATTATTATTATATACAGATGAAGGACCCAAACTCAACACATTAGAAAGATGTTATACACGTATATGAGACATAATGAAGAGAGGTCTACAGAAGAACGATACATTTACAGAAATAAATAATCCCATATTTGACTTTCTAACAAAGACACACACACCAAATAACCCCACCACTTCTCCATCTCTTCAACCACTCAACGCTCTTACACTCATTCAAAAAAAAAAATTCCCGAAATTCATACATTTTCTTCACCATGCGTTCTAGCAGTGTAATACATTTTCTGCACCATGCGTTTTAGCAATGTAAGTCCTTGTAGCGGCCTCACGTACAATGCCTGTCTCTTGTTGAAGCTTATTTATCGTATGGGACATTTCGTTATGCACGACTGTGGGCGTATGAAATCGCTCGCTGTTAGAAATACGCAGGAGAACATTCTCAGAATATGGTGTTGCCAGATCGGTCATTTGTTCATTCATTGCAGTCAAACCATTGTGTTTGTAACGATTTTGAAACATCGCAATATGAGAGTAGCCACCCATGACATCATGAACCATGTTTGGTGCAGATATTCAGTTCATCCAAGACGTGAATGAGATTTTTGTATGTGTGGCCGCGATTTATGGCTTCTGGTCATGGTCTAAGCACTGTGCTGGCAGTAAACCATTCACTGCTAGAGAGTCGTATAATTCATCATGGCCACACGACGACATCGTATGGAAGATGCTGAAATTGAGAAACAGCTGTTCAATGACACAGATTCGGACTGCTATTCAACCGAGTATGAGAGTGGCGAGGAAAGTTGGAGTTCTGATTCC